TCACCATCACCATCGCCTTCATCACCGCCGCCCTCATCCTCCTTTCGCACGTCTCATTTTCAGAGCAGCAGCAGCACAGTTCATCTGCTGAATCACTGTCATCGGATGTTGATGATGATGACCATGACCAGCAGCACCACCACGTTGACCTCCAACCGCCTGAAGTGCCCTCCTCTGCTGAGGCGGCTGAATCAGCTCATTCTGAGGAAGAAGATAGCAATTCTTTCGAACTGCCATCCCTCTCATCAACTGAATCAGAATCGCCTGAATCAGCACAACCAGTACCCGCTGAGGCGCCTCCTGAAGAACCGCCATCACCACCGCCACTATTCGAAGAACAACAATCAGGTAATGACGCACAGGAAAAAGAACAAAACGAACCATCTCCTTCATCAGCACAAACAACATCCACTTCTGACCAGCCACCTCAACAGCCTTCTTCCGAAGAACAAGCACCTTCTTCGGCCACCTTCTCCGATTTGCTCTCCCAGTACACGCCCTCAATGGAGCAGGGCCAGCAGACGGTGGAGGCGGTGAAGAGGAACGGCCTGCTCGCCTACGACTACCTGCAAAGTGCCGTCCTCCGCCTGGCCACTTTGGTACCTTCGGTGCTCATCGACTCGCAAAACGATGACTCCAAAACTGAAGGCAGTGGACCTAGCACTTCAGCAAAGCGACCCCGCGAGAACTACGCCCTCCTCTCTCGCTTCAGCTGGTCCGCCCTCTGTTCGTACTACCAGTCGCTGGCAGGCCTAGAGCTGGAGCTCTTCTGCAGCACTGAAACGGCCATCGCCGGTGTCGGCGTCCTCCTCCTGCTCATCTTCCTCCTCATTCGGTACACTGTCGGCCGAGGAAGACCACCGAAAGAAGAAGAAGTTTCCGAAAACTGCACTGACCCCCTGTCACCCTCCTCCTCCTCCTCAACCGCCTCCCAATCTGCATCCCCAGCATCCAGCGGCCTCTTCTCCCGCCTGCTCCGCTTCCTCAACCTCACCATCCTCTTTTCGAACCTCACCTCCTACGTGGACGGCGCCTTTCGCAGCTTCCGCTCCAGCGAGGCGGTGGTGACGCAGACCAGCCACGGCCACGCCGGCGTCTACTCAATGCAGGGCCGCCGGCCCAACATGGAGGACTGCTTCACAATGCGCAACAACATTAGCCGCGAGCTGGGCATCGACTACTACGCCGTCTTTGATGGGCACGGTGGGCCGGTAAGATATATGAAATGTTTTTTTCGGTAATTTCACTACATAACATTCAACTCTATTCTATTTCAGAACGCGGCCCTGCAAGCCGAGCGGGAGATCTTCGAGAACATCAGCCGACGGATCAGGGAGCTGGTGGCCGGCGAGGCGAACAAGGAGAACAACAGTTCTAGTCAAGAGCAGCAGCAGCAGCTCTCCAAGAGCAAATCAGTGCCTTCCAGTCCAACCAAACCTACCTCCTCCTCCAGTAGCTCAGAAGGCTCCTGTCCAGCAACTCCCTCCACCACCTCCTCCTCCTCCTCACCACTCACCTTCTCCTCGATGCTCAACAGCGGCAAAGCTCTAGCGAACAACCTCAACAGCAGCCACAACAACCTCCGACCCTTCGACAGTCTGACGGTGAACGCCATGAAGACGATCCTCCACGAGGAGATCACCGCCGTCGACGCGAAGCTGGTGGAGGCCTTTCGCCGGCGGGGCGACATCAGCGGCACGACGGCCGTCATCGCCGTCCGCCTCGTCCACTCCAACCTCCTCCTGGTGGCCAATGTGGGCGACTCGCGGGCGGTGCTCTGCGACTGGAAGGGCCAGGCGATAGTGCTCTCCGTCGACCACNCCTCCTCCTCCAGTAGCTCAGAAGGCTCCTGTCCAGCAACTCCCTCCACCCCCTCCACCTCCTCCTCGCCCCTCACTTTCTCCTCGATGCTCAACAGCGGCAAAGCAGCAGCGAACAACCTCAACCACAACAGCCTCCGACCCTTCGACAGTCTGACGGTGAACGCCATGAAGACGATCCTCCACGAGGAGATCACCGCCGTCGACGCGAAGCTGGTGGAGGCCTTTCGCCGGCGGGGCGACATCAGCGGCACGACGGCCGTCATCGCCGTCCGCCTCGTCCACTCCAACCTCCTCCTGGTGGCCAATGTGGGCGACTCGCGGGCAGTGCTCTGCGACTGGAAGGGCCAGGCGATAGTGCTCTCCGTCGACCACAAGCCCTACCAGGTAAACGCTGGCTTTCCCCCAATCTAGAATCCCCATAATAACACCTCTTTTTTACCCTTTTCTCTAATAGCTGAAGGAGTACCGTCGCATCGTCGAGGCGGGCGGCTACATCATGCTGAAGGGCGTCTACCGCGTCAACGGCATCCTAGCGGTGAGCCGCGCCCTGGGCGACTACCCCCTGAAGGAGGACCGCCTCGTCATCGCCGACCCCGACATTCTCTCCTTTGACCTGACCGAGCTCCGGGCCCGCTTCATGATCATCGCCAGCGACGGCTTCTTCGACTGCTTCAGCAATGAGAACGCCGTGCAGTTTGTCCGCGGGGAGCTCGCCCGCCACGGCACCGTCAACATGGGCGAGTCGCAGGCCGGCCTGGCGCTCTACCTCGCCAAGCGGCTGGCCAATGAGGCGTACACGCGCGAGTCATACGACAACATCACCATCATTGTGGTGCTCTTTGAGGACGTTTCAGGAGGAGGAGTTCAGGTGAAGGGCGTCGGTCAGGCGACTTGTTCGAGTGGAGGCAGCAGTCCGACTACCAAAACGGCGCCCACTCCTTTGCCGCCTAACTCCGCAGCTTCCCCAAAAAGTTCGAGTACGACGACGACCTGAATGGAAAAGACAAGAACTGATTACTGATCATCAAGACAATGAAAAATGGCAATGGGAATGAAGGAACACACACACGACCTGATTGTGATCTCCGCGATCTCTCGATTCTGCACTGATTAATAATATTACCTACTACTACTACTCGGCTACTACTGCAATTACTACACACCTTTGTTACCTTTTTCTTCTGTTTCTTCCCTCAAGATAGCACACACACCACTACCCTTGCCCTTATTCCCTTCCCTAAAAAAGCCCTCAGTGCAAATACCCAATGAGTTATTTTCTACTCCCTTCCTCCCCCTTTGGAATGTAAATACTGTGAGAGTACAAAAGAGAAAAAAGTGAATCATTTTTGGCTAGCTTTTTTTTACCGCCAAACAACTGCCATTTATTGCAATGGAGTTGAGGGGAGTGAGAGGGATATGGTGATACCTGTATGATATGTGCTTGTACTGTTGGTGATGTGAGTGATTCTTGCCAAAACGCCAAACGATATCTTCGAGGATTACTGGTAAATGTTTGCCTGCTTGCAACAATTGATATTGGGAACGGGGAACATAACACAATGAGGAGAAGGAGAAGAAGAAACCACGGGAAAGAGGATATGCTTCAGTTGCCGAAGAAGAAACCATTGATAAGTTGCTGAAATGTTTTCTGTAGGGGAAGAGGAATGCAAGAGAGGAATGTATAGTATTATTAATAGTGATGAAAGATGATATGGCTGAGAGTTGAGTGGAGTGGTTGAGTTGAGATTCTAAGATGAGAGAAAGAGTGGGAATTCGGACAATGTGTTCTCGTTCGGGTATTGAGTATTATGCCTTAGCTGGTGCGGGCTTTCTTGTTGTTTGCTGACGGGCCGCCGCCGCCGCCGACATTGTTTACTTTGTGTGTATTGAGCTGCTGCTGCTGCTGCTGTGGTTGTTGTTCTCCACCGCTCGCAGTTTGATCACCGCTTTTGAAGCCTCCTGAAGGAGGAGGAGGAGGAGGAGGAGGAGTAGGTAGTATTGTTGGCGGTTTGGGTGATAATTTACCATTGTCACTATTATCACCACCACCACCTCCCACCACCTTCCCAAACTCCTTCACCTCCTTGCAGTGCTCCACCCCGAGACGGCCCTCAAGCTGAAAGATTTTCAGCTTCATGTACCGATTCTTCAGGACCTTATTCTCAATCTCCAGATCGAGCAAGCGGAGCTCACGAAACTTGTTCACGTAGCGGACGTTGGGCGAAATGGCGGTCTCGAGGTCCAGGTCGAAACAGGAAGAGGCGGTGTCGTTGATGAGCGAAGATGTTTGAGACTGTTTGGCCGTGGGAGGCTTTGGCTTTCCGAGTGATCGTTGGTGGTTACTATTGCTGCTGTTGTTGTTGTGGTGGTGGTGGCTGTTATTGCGTTGAATGGGATGGTGAAATTTGTGGTTATTAGTTGATGATACACCGCTGCTCTGGTGGTGGTGGTACTTTGAAGCAAACTGTCGATTCTGTTGCTGTTGGTGGTGAGGATGAAGATGATTATTAGAATGATTCTGGTTCTGGTGGTGATGATTTCCATTGAAAAGCAGGTGATGAAGAACACCTCCGTTTGAGAGAGTTGAGGTGGAGGAGGAGTTTTTGCCTCTAATCAGCTCCGCCTTCAAAAGGTTTCCCGAGGTGTGATGATTTGGCTCTGGAGGATTCANCCTCCGTTTGAGGGAGTTGTTGTGGAGGAGGAGTTTTTTCCTCTAATCAGCTCTGCCTTTAAAAGATTTCCCGAGGTGTGATGATTCGGCTCTGCATTACCTTCAGCGGCAGACTTTTGGCGCTGTCCACTGTGGTTACCCTGTAGCGACGATTCAATGTGATTGCTCGAGCTACTGTTTATCAGCTGCTGCTGCTGACCACTGTTCTGGTCACCAAAGACAATCTTGGGGACAAAGAGGCGCTCATCGAAGCTGCCTTCTCCGTNCCTTCAGCGGCAGACTTTTGGCGCTGTCCACTGTGGTTACCCTGTAGCGACGATTCAATGTGATTGCTCGAGCTACTGTTTATCAGCTGCTGCTGCTGACCACTGTTGTGGTCGCTAAAGACAATCTTGGGCACAAAAAGGCGCTCATCGAAGCTGCCTTCTCCGTCCACGTCATCATCATCTTCCTCATTGTCCTCATCCTCATCCTCANAGACTTTTGGCGCTGTCCACTGTGGTTACCCTGTAGCGACGATTCAATGTGATTGCTCGAGCTACTGTTTATCAGCTGCTGCTGCTGACCACTGTTCTGGTCACCAAAGACAATCTTGGGGACAAAGAGGCGCTCATCGAAGCTGCCTTCTCCGTCCACGTCATCATCTTCGTCCTCATCGTCCTCATCCTCATCATCTTCATCATCGTCTTCCTCATCCTCGTCTTCATCCTCATCACTGTCAATCATGTACTCGTCCGACTCATCATCGTCATCTTCTTGGCCACCACTCTGCTGCTGCCGCTGCTGCTGCTGCATCTTCAACTTCATGGCCATCAGCATAGCTGCTTGAGCTGCAGCTGAATTGTNTTCATCTTCATCATCATCCTCCTCCTCGTCTTCATCCTCATCCTCATCACTGTCAATCATATACTCGTCCGACTCATCATCGTCATCTTCTTGGCCACCACTCTGCTGCTGCCGCTGCTGCTGCTGCATCTTCAGCTTCATGGCCATTAGCATAGCTGCTTGAGCTGCAGCAGAATTGCTGCCACCTTCCACGCCCATCCACCCACCACCAACACTTGCTGATTCAGCATTTCCCGCATTCATTGTCTGCTCCTCGCCACCATCATCATCTCCGGTCACCGTCTTATCAGGCGTCTTCCCGAGAATGTCGTAGATGAGAAACTCGCACTCGTCCATGTTCAGGCGGTAGCCATTGGCGGCCAGGTGCTTCAGACGTTTCTATTTCCAAACGAGAGAGAAGAAAAAGTTTGCGTGAGCGTGAACGATTCCATTGCGCATGCAACACACCGAATGAGAACATTCGTTCTCGTCAATGGCCGCTTACCTGCGCCCGCTTTCGCCAGTTGGAGAAGGAGACGTCGCGGACGTAGCGCCAGTCCTTCTCCTTGCTGACCATGCCAAAGTCGAGCATCTTGGTGAAGATCTGCCGCCAGATCTTCTCCTTCTCGTGCTTGAAGGCCTTCTTCGTGAAGAGAATGTGCTTGTGCTCGTTGATGGCCGTCAGGATGGAGAGCCGTTTGCTCTTGTGCTCCGTCAGCGTCTTCGGCACCTGGGGGGGCGAAAGAGAGGAGTGGAGTGGGTGGAAATAGAAATAGAAACTCTGGTCAAAATTTTTGACTCAAAATCGAAACAAGCACAACTTACCTTGCTGTTATTTCCTCCTCCTCCGTTGCCATTGCCGCCGCCATTAGTGCTGCTAAAGTTGGCCGTTGCTGTCGCTCCCTGTTGGCTCCTGGCACCTCCTGAAGCCAGAAGATTACCACCACCACTCGGTGACTTGTGGCCACCCTTCATTCTTGGTGGTGATGAGATGATAAGATGATGATATGATGAGCAACTGTGAGGTATCTGATATGGCGAGATTCTTCAGCAATGGCTGCAGCAGCAGAAACAGCAGTCGTCTTTCCCAGCGGCGACGACGGCTGGTCCGCTACTCATCCGAGATCGACTGACTGGTCGCTCTCTGCCGTCTCCGTCTCCGTCTCCACCACCGACAAAGAAAGAGAGTTGACGCTGCTGTCCGCCTGATTTGTGTACTTTGCGATGCTCCCCAAGAATGTGTGCGCAGAGCCGCACACACTCACAGCTCAGAGCCGAGCAAGGCGACCAGAGAACGGGAGCATCCGAGAGGACAGGCTACCGTCGCTGGTTCCTTTCCGTTCCCTTCAAGCATCAGTTCTCCTCTCCTCTTTTGACTGGTCTTGGCCAGCAGCAACGAGAGGCATATACAGCGCTAAAGAAAGGCACACAGGCTGGCAGAAACGAACGTACCAGAAAGGAACTCAAGTAGTATTCACAACTGGTAATCACAAGTGAGAAAGAGAGAAATAGAAAGAGACCAGCGGAATGGCAGCAGCCGCATCCTCAGCTGCCTGCCTGTGCATCGGCAGCCACCGGCATACCAGTCTCTCTCAGGCGACCATATAGTCACTTAGTTGCCAGTCGCTCTGTCCGAATCGTCACATCCTGACCGAAAATAGAAGAGAAGAGGCACAAATACCCAGTCGTCAGCGAGAGGGTATATAGAGAAGAGAGAATCGAGGATTGAGATACAGCGAGTTCACATCACTCTGCCAAAAAGAATTCACCGTCTTTTCATGACCGACGGCGAATCTCTCGGCTGCTGCTGGTCG